GGTCCTTGTAAACACTCCCTGCACAACTTTGGGGCTGCAAAGGTCTAGATCCTAGGAGTAAGTGTGAATGAAATGTCGATCTGCTTTCAATTAGTCCCTAATTGGGTTAAGCTCATCTTTCCAACCTTAAATGCTAGTGTCAGAAAGAAAATAAATTCTTCCTGGAGGAACTAACATCATCTGGAGACACAAATTACATATATATATTTTTCACATGCAAAAAGTCTTTTATACAATCAAAAATAACCAGGCATTATAAGAGATTAATATGATGGCATTTAGAGACTCATATTACAATAGCTATCATTAATGTATTTAAGAAATTAACAAAATGTAAAAACTCAGCAGTGAACTAAAAACTAGTGAAAGAATTAAATGGAAATTCTAGAGCTAAAAACTACAAAAAATTAAACCTTCAACATATGGGTTTAACGGTAAGTTAGAACTGAAGGGAGAATTAGTAAACATGAAGATAGTCTAGAAGAAATATACAGATATATTCAAATATACAGATTGAAACTCAAGGAAACAAGAGATGGAAAATAAAGAATAGAATATTTACCAAAATTAACTGTGCACTGGGATATAAAGCAAATCTCAACAAATTTCAGAAGTCTAAAATTCGAAACAGAATAGTCTGAATAGAATATTCTGAATAGAATAAGTCTGAAAACATATTCTAATGTTTTTTGGCCTTAGTCTAATTATGCCAGAAAACAGCAATGACATTTTTGTCTTTCAATAATGTATTGTAATTGGAATCAAACAGTATGTGAACTTTGAGTCTGGCTTCTTTTATTTAGCATGCTCATAATTCATTTGATGTTTATCTACATTGTTACATGTATCCATAATTTATCCCTTTTTATTGCATTCCATTTTATAGATTTATCTTTTAAGCAGATGGAATACATTAATTGTAACTTTTGGTGATTATGAAATAAGTCACTAAAAAGATTCATGTGTGGATTTTGGTAGAAACCTAAGTATGCATTTCTTTTTAATAAATACCTAGGAGTGGCACTGCCGGTAAATGTATATTTAAATTTATAGAAAATTGCCAAACTGTTTTTCAATATGACTGTCACATTTTGCATTCTCAGAAGCACTGTGTCAGAATTCCAGCTCTTCTGCATTCTTGTATCTTTGCCAGCCCTTGATATCATCAGGCTTGTGTTTTTGTTTTTTTGAATTTTTATAAAGCTATTCTAACAGACATGTAGGGTTATCGAATGGTAATTTTAATTGGCAAATACTTGATAACTAATGATGTTAAGGATATTTTCATGTGTTTATTTCCCATCTAATTTTATTCCTTGAAGAAATGTCATTGAAATAATTTGCCCACTTTTATTGGGTAATTTTTTCCCTGTTATTGAGATTCGAGTGTAATTTATATATTCTGGATACAAGTTCTTTATCAGACACACGGTTTGCAAATTTTTTTTCTCCTAGTCTGTGGCTTATCTTTACATTTTCTGAACAGTATCTTTTGAAGATCAGATTTTAATTCAAAAGTCCAATTTATTATCAATATTTTATTTTAGGATCACCTTTTGTGTCACATCTAGGGAACTTTTGCTTACTACGAAGTCACAAAGATTTTCTACTGTATTCTTTCTGAACTTTTATAGTTTTACCTTTGACATAAGTCTCTGAGTCTCTGATCCATTTTGAGTTAATTTTTTTATATATTGTGAGTTTTAGGTCAAAAAAAATTTTTTTTTTTGCTTATGAATATCTTATTCTAGCATCTCTTGTTGCAAAGACTATCTTTTGTCCATTGACATACTGCTGCACCTGTTGAAAATGAGTCAGTCTTGTATTTGAATACATACTGTACTGATTACTATATATTCATAGAAAGTTATAAAGACAGGTGATGTGAGTTCTTTTGCTTTTCTTTTTTTGAACATTGTTCATCTTATAGTTTTTTTTTCTTTTCCATATCCATTTAAAATCAGTTTGTCAATTTGCACAAGAAATACTACTAGAATTCTAATTGAGATTGCATTGAATCTGTAAATCAATTTGGGAAAAAATGGCATTCTAATAATATTGAGCATTATCAATCTATGAATACAATATGTTTCTCTGTTTAGGTCTTATTTGATTTCTTTCTTCAAAACTTTATAGTATTCTTCATATAAATATTATGCAAATTTTCTTAGATTTATACCTAAGTAATAACATTTTTTTAGTATTTAATAACTTTTGACGCTATTATAAATGGTATTTTAATTTCAATTACCAATTGTACGTATCTAGTATATAGAAACACATGGTTTTGTATTCTGTGACCTTATATTTAGTAGCTTTTAAAGTAGCTTTTGGGATATTTTCTATGTAGACAATTTTT